GATTTTATTGCAGATCTGCATCAGATCTTTGGCCAAATCTTGGCACATCTGCATTGCAGAAAAACTGCAGATTGCAGAATCTTTACAGATTCTGCAAAGATTTTTGCAGACCGAGTTTTTTTGGGTGAATTAACTGTAATCACTTCTGATACATATTATCGATCATATTTTCGAGTGTGTCTCTCTCGGCTTCTTACCTTAGTAGAACTATTATATATGTCATTCGCCAGCTCTTTTTCTACGCTACAATTTCCTGTACATAAAATAGTGACAAAAGTGTCCTAGGGCACCTTGACATTAGAAATGAAGGAAGAGCAAAGCCGTGTAAATCGAGTGACTTATTCCACGACGAGAATCCTATCATCAACGTTTCTCAACTAGTACTACTTTTTATACAAATAACAATCACAAATGGAACTACTAATGTTTTGTGAATGTCATATGCACGAAAATATGTTCTATATTACTTCTAATTACAAATATCACAAAAAAGGCAGAAATAAAAAATTTTCTTGTTTCAAAATTACAAAAACGTGATAAAGTAGAACTTTGTCATTTTAAAAATAATACTTTAAAATTAAACATTTGGGAATTTAAATCAGTTTTTATTTTAGATTAATAAATCATTAAAAACAAATTGTTGCTTCATCAGATAAATTCGAATATATAGGCAACCATGAAATCGTTTTTAACGATTATATGTAAGATTCATCTGTCTAGAAATTACATTGTAATCGACGTTCTAGAGTGCCTAATGTTGTTAACTGGCGGATGATCCACTTTCCGAACTACTTCCTCCTTGACCACTGCTTGATCCATGTTTTGGCAAGGGAACCCCGCCACTGTGATTAGCTGGCGCTTTTCTTTCACCTTCACGAAAAAGAATAAAAACTTACGATAGAACGATAAAGAGAGATTATTGTTCTTACTTACTAGGTTTGTTTGCATCGCTACTTTCACCAATTGACGACGCCTGTTTCTCAGTACTTTGTCCTGTTGACGAACCAGATTGGCAAGCAGATGACGACATTTTGTAATAATAAGTAATAAATGGAATAAGTCAATGTATGATGTAGAAGAGTAATGAAAAAAACAGAAATGCTAGAAGGATGTAGTTAGTTGATCGTCCTCAAAAGAAAAAGAATATTTTGATTATTTTTTCATTCTCTTTTCTTCCCTTTTATACCCATTAAAGCACAATAAAGTTACAGAATAGAAAGAAGATATAGAAGGACTTTTTTTCCTACTCTCTGTTCTAGATCTTCCAATTTTGTGATAGAGATTCGATAAATCATTGTTTTTAGGCCAAAAAGATGTTTTTCTGTTTTAAGCTTTATCTTTCTAATAAATAAGGAATATCTCTATCTTTTCACATCTTGGCAAATATTAGCACATGTCCATATAGACATTTCCTAACATATAGATGTTTGCTAACATTTGCCAAGATGTGAAAAGATAGAGATATTCCTTATTTGATACGGCTCTACTAAAAGTAGATGCAATCTTTGATACGAAACCGATTAGTTTGTTATCTCAGTAGACAGTGTAAACAGCTGCACGGCGGATCATAGAGTATCAGAAAAAAAGGCGAAAACGAGAAGCAGAATGTCTAATGATCAGACTAACTCAGAAAAAATTCACTCAGAAAAAGTAAAAGAGTTTTTCCAAAAAAAAGGCTGAGAGGTATCAAAACCGAAAATTTTTAACTTAATAAAGAAATAACTTGTACACCACTCGAGGCAGTTTGACGTGCCGATTTTAAACCTCTTCTTTTTATTACATATCCGAAAACAGATTTTACTATATTCATACTCCAGGAAAAGGTGGAAATGGTACAGGTTAAGTATACCGCTGTTTGAAACATCCAAAAACGTTTCGTTTTTTCTGATAAAATGTCCGCCGAAATGCTGCTGTACGGTGTCCGTTTGGCAATCGAATGAAACTTCCAGGAGAACATATGTGTGCACTCTATCTATCATTCAATAACACATACTGGGAGCAATCGAAAACTGTATTTGAAGTTAAGTATCAGTTTGATTAACATTGAGATATTTATGCTTGAGGAGTCAAAATCACCATTTTTATTAAATGGAGAGAGATCAAAAGAACCCGATAATAAATGACGTTATGTAAGAATATCCTCTAAGGAAAAATAAGCTTAAAGCAGAGTGTACGGTAAGGAAGATTGATATATTGTAACATTATAGAAGTAAAATAAGACAGATGTCTTGATAAAAAACATAATGTCCGTTGAATGGGGCAGTTGATAGTTCTACTAATGTATGAAAAGTCTTTTTATTTCACTAACAGGAGTTATAATGGCGAGTGGAATTTTGTTCAATGTATATTTTAGTTTCATTAAAAACCAGCGCTATTCCCATCTTTATTGTAAAGATTAGCTTTCTTTGTTTGAAGTCAATAGAATGTAAAGTTAGGTTTTACGAAATATTTGTGAATTTGAATATTTTTAATTTTTTCTCACAGTGTCGAGAGAAGTCAACTACCACGATTCGATCATTATGCCGCTATCTCTTGCATAAAACCTACTGACTCGAATAAATGATCGTAACCGTAGTCAGAACGCAAATAATCTATCCTGATATGATGTTGCCTATTTCTATGTAAACCTACCACTATATACAGAATGTTCTCCAAATGAACTGAACATTTTATCATGTCTATTCTTCCCGATTATCAGAATATATTTTGTTTTTAGAAAATATTTATATGCAAGGGTAGTTCAAAAGTATATCGATGTCTGGATTATATTTCATCTTGAAAATCAAATTTCTCAGCAAGTTCTTGGCGCAACTGAGATTTAACATAGATTTAGATTCTTCTAGTCAACTAGAAATGTGCTAACTCAGATCTTTTAAAGTTGATACCTTTAAGTTTTGGTGCCAACGCACACAAAGTCCGGTTTTAGATAGATGCACTAAAATTGACACTGTTTTTTTTGCCTACGTAAGGACGAACAAGCCGTCACCAATATATGTTTTAGAATCCTCTATCCATAAGCTACCCAATTGACATACGAATCAACTCGAAAAAATGAATCTTTCGCTCTTGCAGTAGTCACCATCATTAATAGATATCGCAAACTACTCAATTTCTCCCACTTATAAACACTTACTTTTCTATCACACGACTTATTTTTGATAAATAATAATAAATCAGCGGCGTTAGTGTAGACAGACAAGTTATTTCCTCGCTGAATAATATAGAATAAAATGACAGAAGAACGTGTCTTACAGTTGAATACTCTGAACTCATATGCAGAAGAAAAGAAAAAGAAAATCTTGATTATATTTTTTTCTCCTTTGCTTCTTCTTCGCCAAACAGGAATCAACATTCTTGATTAAAATCAGTCAAGACTCTTGAACAGATCTGTTAATAAAGTACAAATCCTTGGAGTTAGAAAAAAGGAAAACAAAGACATTATATAGATCAAGAAAAAACACGATCCGCTACAGTTTAAAGGCGAGTATAATGTTTTATCCATAGAACGGTAATTACTTCCGTTTGAGCAAACAAATGCTGGAAAGAGTTTCGATAAATCTTTGCTAATAAAAATATTACTCTAAATCATATACTGTTTAGAATTGTAACTCTTGAACAAAATGAAGTGAAAGTGTTGTACTTCATTGTTCTGCATTTTACACGCGAAAGTGGATATTTTCGCTAAATATGTGTGTATAGGCCTGCAGCAGTTTCGGTTAACCAAAATAATCGGAACGCCGCGTGGCTATAACAATCTTTTCTATTGGTAGAACAATTCTTTTGCTCTGTCTATGTGGCATACGGCTCGTAGAAAATGTTTCTTTAAAAGTCTGACGTTTTCTTGAATTCATTACAATCGTGTGACCATTTTTTGTACTTAACATTTTTCACAAAAAATTTAGAGAAAAAAGTTATTTTAAACTAAGTAAAATTTATCGAAACAATAAAAGTTGTATCTCCAGAGTAACGTTTTTTGTTAGATTTCCAGGAAAAGTGTTGGATCCAGAAAATGTACTGCGTATAATTCTAAACATCTTTCCTTTGCAATGAATATTTGTTGATTGAACAATATATGTTTGCTTCATACTGTTTCAAATGTATTTTCAAGAATCTGTGCATATAATAAAATTTTCGATCATCAGTTAAGATCGGTATCGGATAACGGATTAAAAGCCGGCATCGATGCATCCCTTTGTATGCATAAAAGTTAATCTCAACACAGCTTTACTCTCCTGATAGACACTAAAATAACGATTAAAATTGTACGCTTTGTCTTCTTCTTCTCGAGTACTACACATTGTTGTATTATCTATCCAGTTTTACTTATATCGTACACAGAATACAGTTCTCGCTTACCTCTTTCTTTTCTTCTTTTTCGGCTACTATTTTTATTTCCTTTTTAAGTATGTAAGTGTGTGTTCGAGACAACTTATAATGAGTCTAAACCATTTTATTAGTTGTTTAAGTAAAGAGGTTTAAATCAAATATTAAAATAAGAAAAACAAAAAAATTTTCATTGAAATTTCGCTAACATACAAAACTTAAGAAGGAAAGCAAATAGGACAATAATAGCAAAGAGGAAACGTTGTTCACAAGTTAAGGAAGACAATGTTCACAAGTTAAGGAAGATAGAAACTAAAACAACTTACTCTGCTGTGACGATGATTCGAACGTGAGTATCTACAATTACGAAGCAAGCATAGAACAGGTTGAGCTAAAGATGCTCGAAAGATGAACTGCATCATCAGTACGTGTTTCGAGCATCGACAGCTTACTGAGAAAATGAATCTTTTTTGTTTGCTTGCTTGCGTCTTAAATCTAGATCCCGAGCAGCTGTTTTTTACTCTTGTCTGCAGAGATCTTTCATTTTGCTCGACGCAGCTTTTTTACCTATAGGTTCAGTTCCAAAATTGAAGAAGTCTACGAAAGTTGGAAAACAGTCGAATTTCGAGGTCTTGTGAATCTCTATCTTTATGTAAACTGCTCACATACTGACTGACCTGAAACTTTGCTGCGAGACGAATTTCACATTTACACTATTTCAACAATGGGAGTTATCTACCTTCTTTTCGCTGTACTTCGAAGGAATTTGTAGGAATTAAATCCGGTGAACCGCGTTTAGCAGCAGCTGCTACGAAATGTTTCCAAACACGTGCGTTAAAGGTGTCGAATTACAATGCGAAGCACGTTAGTTAGTAAACGCACCTAAACGCGTTTGTTCCTGACGCGTTCAGATGCGTTGAGAGACATTAACGTGTCTAAACGCGTTTAATTTGAATGCGTTCGAACGCGCCAAAACACGTTTATTTTCACAGCATCTTGGTGCGTCAGTTTTTGACGCGGCCAAACGCGTTCTTAGTGCAAAAAAACGCGTTTAGCAGTCCGTTGGGTCTAAAAAAATGTCTGCCTGGGTAGGCACAAAACAGTGACATACTCTATAAATTTCTGATCATTATTTATGAATGACAGAACTGAATAAAATTCGAAAAACAAATTGGTTCAAACGTCCTGGTGCAGCATCTACTTTTACTCCTAAAGAAGACAGAACTTAAACATAAACGACATCATCTGAAGTCACTAATGTACAAATAAATTCCTGTGATTGTAACATCACACGATTGTTTACGTCTAATAAGCGTAATTACTTTACTCTCTGAATTAATATAAGAATCCTGTTTAAAATTTACTCTCCTATCAATTTTTGTAATTTCAATATCATTGATGACCAATAACTTTTGAAAGTATGTAGAAAAGTAGTTCAGTTTTCATCAATTAAATATAATAAATGAATAGACGGGTAAACTAATAAAATGACAACAACAATAGGAAGAGATAAAATAATAAATGAGCTCGGAAAAAAGCGACATTTGAGTTCAGTGTGTTTAATTGGCTTTGAAATGAGAGAAATAAGCTCGATAAATAATTTACGAAAATTAATTAATGATTTTGTCAGTAGTAAAGTATGTTTAATACGAAAAGCACGCAGTTACTAATGGGGAAATTTTATTTGTTACAAATGCCGTTTTGTCA